GGAGCACTAGGACTGCCGCATTGGCTATCAACGCGTATGAAGTTAAACGCTTCTGTCGTATCTTTTTGTCTCGGTTCGAGCATGGAGTTGGCGTCATAATAATATTTCAGGCACGCACTTTAAGGAAACAGCGGTCTCGAGACATGCTTTCAGCTAGGTTGGTGCTCAAGCAGCCACGAAAATGTTTCCCCCTCCAAATCCATGATTTGCCAGAAAAAAAAGCGAATATTTCTACAGCGAGAAGTCGGGTGGCCTCTGAGAAAATGTGGAATTGTTTCAACATAGTATAGGAACAATTAAGTCATATCACTGCTAACCTGGAATCCTCAAAGTGATTATACGACTGCCCGTAGAATGTTCATTTCCGCTGAAACGGGAGGGGGTGGGATTGTTCCCGAGTTTTGAAGTGCAAGATTTCGTCCCATGTGCTAAATTGCTGTTGTGTATATACTTTACCACCAATGTATTACGCTGGCTCCAGCACTCCCTCTACGCATCCACCCCCCTTAGGAAAATATTTAATGATCTGTCTTGCCCCGCACCGGTTTATTCCACATTGTCGTTTCGACATGTTGAAGCTTCAAACCTAATTTACTAAGTAGAAAAAAAATCAAGAATCACTTTGTCATTGGAATCTCAGTTGCCGTTTAAAGTACATGAAAGGTAGTTCAAAAAGGCATGTAGATATTTAAACACATTAAAATGACACATATGACAACTGAGAATTCTTCCTGGGAAAATAAAAGTTCGCGGCGTTTGAGGTATGCCATTTTGAAGGATATCTTGTCGGCGTACTGGTTAGGAATGTTCTAGTAGTTGAGCGGGTCAGGAGCTTTCGGTGAAGGAAAAAGAGAACGTGGACGAGTCGGTGACCAGTGCGAAGGACAACCTTCGTGGCGTTCGTAGATAACCGAGCAACCAAGAAACAATCCGAACAAAATAGCAAGACCAGGTGTGCTGGCCAGCGCGCCCGGTGTAGGTGCCCAAACTGGTCCAGGTGTTTTCGAAAACGTGACAGAAACGGGCGCGAGACATTGCAAGGGAGCACCCGGCCTTGAGAGACAGAAAACGAATGTGCCCCGACCGGAAACGTGCCCGATAAGAGCCGAGAGGCAAGGCTACATACGCTCTCACGGGCTTCAAACGAAAGGTCCGTGCGGTCCGCCAAAGGAATGTGCCGGGGCAACGTCCGTAGACGAGATAAGTCAAAACCATCGATAGATAATCAACATTGAGGTTTAGGAAGCCATATCTTTGAATCCCACCCTAAAGAAAAGAATACTTTTCTTTTTTTTAGGTTTATACTTAGGCTAGGTGGCGCAAGCTACCGTCTGTTACATGATATCTACATTGCTAGTAGATATCATACATGAGGCAGTCTGCGGGCACTGTCTGAGGCATGCTAGTTCCTTGCCTGTTCCACTGGTCATACAAAAACTGTCTGTAGCCATGTTCAAAACACAAACATGTATAGAAAAACATGCTTCATACATACATACACAAAAATACGTAGGTTATTATAAAGAGGCGGACCCTCGCATTTGCGCGCACCGCCAGTGTGGTAATGTTTGGTAACAAATAAGTTAATAATATTAGGAGAAGTTCAATAATTTTTAAATGTGCGGCGCATTGTGAAGAGGCCTCCTTGAAGGTTGTGCACCTACAGAACTCTGCCTTCGGCAAATATCTCCAGCACAGGCCCACAGCTTTTAGCTTCTTCAATGCGCGTATGCGGCCGCAACAGATACAAGGCCCTCAGTCGATTAGAGATGAAACAGTACGAACGAATTTTGTTTGTTTTTAGCGAAGTGCTGCGGCAGTTTGCCGCAGCACTTGTGAACTCGGCGACTAGGGAGTTACGTATCCTGCGGATATTTTTATTTCTCCAACACTCTGATATCGGGGTGTTGTGCTTTACGTAAGGTTTTTGCAGCGAACCAGGAAGCAAATTAAATAGATTAAAACGAGCATCATTCCCTACACGTCTTGAACACGTCATGAACGCGCTCAAAACGTGCTCGGAGTGTACACTGGAAACGCCATGGAAAACATTTCTGGCGATCAGGTCATTTTTGTTTAAAGATCGTGTTTTTAGAGCGCAGCTCTTAGGCGTCCGTTTCCGGCTTGAGCGGCATCACCGTCGCCGTTGCCGTCGCCGTCGGCGTAACCCCGCGGGAGGGGAGGAGGAGGGGGAGGAGGGGGAAGAGGACGTGGGATGAGGGGAGGGGGAAAAGAGAGGGGGAGGAGAAGAGGATGGGGCGAGAGGGAGAAGCCTGAAGGATGAGGGGAGGAGGAGGTGAAGTAGGAGTAGGAGGGGAAGAGGAGGATGAGGAATAGAAAAAATGAGGGGAGGAGGAGTATCAGGGACGATGAAGAGGTGAGGAGGAGGGAGGAGGGATATACCTCCCCTCAGTACCCTTCCCTCCTCCTTCTCAAGAGCTGCGCTCTAATTCGGCGTTACAGGGTGTGGTAAACGTCTTTTATTTTAGAGCGCAGCTCTTAGGGGCCCGTTCGCGGCTTGAGCGGCGTCGGCGTCGCCGTCGTCGTCGGCGTAACCGCGAGGTCACGTGACCCCCCACGTCACGTGACCCCCCGAGGACACGTTACACTCCCTTGAGGTCACGTGACCCCCCTCAGGTCACATGATTCCCCTGAGGCCACGTGGTCCCTGAGGTCACGACCCCGGAGGTCACGTGACCCCTCTGAGGTCACATGACCCCACTGAGGACACGTTACCCCCTGAGGTCACGTGACCCCCTGAGGTCACGCGACCCCCCGAGGTCACTGACCCCTTGACGTCACACGACCCCCTAAGGTCACGTGACCTCAAGGAGTCGCCTATCCCTCAGCACGCTTTCAACCTCCTCCTCAAGAGCTGCGCTCTAATTCCACGTTACAGGGAATTGTAAACGGTTTTCATTTTTTTAAGTGCACACCCCGGCACGACACGTGCACTCCTCCGTTGTAGGGCTTTCCTCCCTGCGCTTCTGTGCATAAGGAAAAGCACCCTTTACAGAGCGAAAGGTCTGGCTTGCATAGAGTGTGGACCCATGGGCTAGTCTCAAGTGGTCTGCACCAGAGGCGCGCAAAGTGGGGGTCGCGGGGGCCTATGAAAGCCGAGCCGCTGATAGCTTTGGTGCTTCTCTAATGGGGAAAGGGGGGGGGCGAGGTTGCCGGATCACGTTCGGGCATTTCAGGGGTCGCGGACCGAAAAAGTGTGCGCAACTATGGTGTACACTAACTCTGCCGCATACCTTTTTTATAAAGATACAGCAAACATGTGTTGTATAATGCTGATTCAAGAAATCTTTTTTTAAATATATCTATACAAATACCATTGCAGGGGATATTTCAATGTCTGAACTACTAGTACGGTGACCACCCGCCCCGCGACTCGCGGGACTGTCCCGCATTGAGGGCTCGTGTCCCGCGTCCCGCAAGAAATTTTTAAATCTTTAAAATGTCCCGCATTTCATACTGTCGTAAAATTCACTCTGGAACTCATGGTGCTGCCGAATAACGGCGCACGGGGAAGCGCGGAGGTCGCTGTAATCGTGTGAATCGCATGGACACTCCATTTTCTGAACAAGCATTGCGGGAAGCAACCGTCATTCTTGCAGTAGAACCGACGCGCTTGCTCCATTGCGCCTCTCCCCTTCGTGACAAAATATTGTCAAAAACATTGCTCGCCAAACTTTTAAATACTAGATACTGTAATTATTTTCATATCGCTGTGTCACAGCAAAAAGTTTGCTGTGAATTTTTTTTTTATTTTTTCGTGAAGAGGGGAAAGGGGAAAAGCCTGCAACTCACAAGGGTCGAAAAAGAACATACTGTTAAAAATTTGTGTACACTCTAAAAAAAAGCCTGTGCGTCTACTTTCACGCACAACACTCGGCGGGCCAATCACCGCGAGTTACGGAGGCAGCTCAGCGAATGACGATGTTGAAACATATGTTGAGACCAAAAAAAAACGCAGTTTGAGTTGTGACATTACGCAATGCAAGCGTGACGTTTTGCATTGCTTAAAGCACAAACTCATACTGCGTTTTCCGGTCTAAACATATGTTTTGGCGTCGTCATTCGCTGAGCTGCCTCTGTAACTTGCGGTGATTGGCTCTCCAAGTGTAGTGCAAGAAAGTAGATGCACGGGCTTTTTTTTAGAGTGAGCGCCCTGTCGATATATGTAAGCGTTCACAGTAAACAATAGCGAGTTTTAGTAGACCGTGTTTCCCGCCCCGCTAAGCCCCTCCGCTACCCGGAACTCTACAGCCAACGCCATCGGCGCGCAGGCGCAGTGGCGGTTTCTTCGTAGCGGAGGGCTAGCGGAGCGGGAAACACGGTCTACTAAAACGCCCTAATAACCAGAAAAAGGATTACGGTTTCTTATTTCCATTGAGTTGAGTTCTGCTTCAGTTGATTTTTATGTTTTCAATTTCGACACATTTAATAGCACATTTGGCATAAAAAAGTATGTCACTGGGAGTAAAAAAAATATTTGAGCTGAATTGCTGAGCCTGCAAAACAATTAGAAGGTGTATAAACAGCACAAGATATTAAATGTGTTAACAGAGCCTCGGTTCGTGGTGTGCGTGTTAATAAATTTCTTCCCTCCCTCCCCCACTGCCCCGCTTTCCCGCATTTCGCTTGCAGGAAGGTAGTCACCCTAACTACTAGTATAAATAAAATATGTTAGATACAGGCTGGCAGCTTGAGGAACGGGTTGTGTGACTTATGGAAAATGCACGATTCTTGCTCTGTGATTGGTTCTTTTCGGCGTTCTTGAATCTCATTCGCTACGGAGAGGTAATGATATGCTCGGGACTTGCCATGCCCTGTGCTCTTTAAACTGTCACTGACTGTAACTGTGAGCACTTGATGCTCGGAGTACAATGCATACAACTATCCCAATTTGTATGAATTGTTTACCCCAGACCTTTCTGATGAGCTTTGTCCGTCGTCGCAGTGCTCAAAAGACCGCGTCCATCCAGCCTGCAATCATGACGCTGAAGCTGCTCCTGTTGCCCCTGTTCCTCGCCCTGGCCTGCGGAGGTGAGCTGCAACGGACAGATTGTTCTCGAAGTCGGTCATCACCACGGGGGGTCCAAGTGCAAAGGCCGACTCTCTTTCTCGCCACAAGATCGAAAAAAAGAAAGAAAATGTCCTACACATAAACTCTTAAAAAAAAAAAAAAAATGTTATGCTTCAAGAATTTTTTTAGCTTGTGAGGAGCGGTACTGCCTCAAGCACTATCACCCCTGGGCGCACGAGGAAGGCAACTGGCCGATGAAGACCTCTTTCGCGTCAAAAAAGAGGTTTAAAAGAACCCCTTGTAGGTTTTTCACGAAGAACCCTTTTAAGGGGTGCTTAAAAAAAAACTTTTTAGGGTCCAAAATATAGACAAGCCGAAGAACCCATCAGAGTTATTTTACGACCAGATTGTTTCTTAGAGTGTATTACACCTTTATGAGTATAGAAAATGTGCTTCGACTTCTTACACCGATGGCTACAGACATTCAGTTTCCCTATTTCTTACGTAATTCGCCATTTGTATTTTTTTTAAAGGTAGGATAAGAGTGTAAAGTATGGGTGCTGCGGTGCAGTGTGGGGGGCGATAACCTACCCGAACCGCTTTAGCGAAAGTAGTGTTAATGGCTGCGTAAAATAATTTCGCCTGTGTAGCCATATTTTTTCATGCAGTCCATGACAATGGCATTGAGCGTACTAAATACATTGCATTCTTCTCTACCTCACGCACTAGACGGTTGCATCATTTAAGCATTGTACAAGAATCAAATAAAAACTAAAAACAACAAGAACAAACAGCGCAGTTTATATCCCTTTTTTTAGATTGTATTGTTTTAAATGATTCCTTATGTGCACGTCTGGTTGAGCTGTGGAACATTGTCGACGGAGTTACGCTTATGCTTGCATACGTTTTATTCTTAAATTATACATCTCTCTTGGTCTTAATGTGTGGTTGTTTGAATTGTTATTTTCTAGGATGTTTTGTCTTATTGTTGTTATTTATTTTACCATAACTGGGAGCCGTTGTTTCACCCTGCAACTACCTAAAATGAGGTCGCAGTATGTGCGAATAAATAATAAATATGAAAGGTTCACTCTTTCTTTTATCAAGTTAATATTCAGAAGATACATCCGCTCGTTAAACATGAGCTTTGAGGCAAATGCGGTCACTGTAAAGCGAGCAAGGTCGGTTACATACAGGCGATAATATTTATTTGTTTATTTTATTTATTTCAAGATACTGCCAATACCTGTTAGGGATTATAGCAGACATTGGAAATACACAATAAATACAAAATGAGGGGCAGGAGTAACAAATTCCATGACATTTTACATCTTGATTACAATAGCAAAAACGACACTAATGAACCATTTACAAGGTGAGCCTCAACTGCCTCGATAAAATATTCAACACTGCCATATAGTTGAAAAAATGTGGGTCACAATTACTTCAATCTCTTATTGCAGCAGGAAAAAAAGAGTGCCTAAAACTGTTCCTGTTAAAGGAGTACTTGACAAGTGTATTGCTGTGTTTATGTCTAGTTGCCTTTGTTTCTGATGCTTTACGTGCTTTTTTGTTTTGTTTTAAAAGCATCGTTCAAAAAATAGAAGATGTCGTATTTGTTTGAAATCGATCATCCATGTCACGCGTTTGATTGTACTAAATAATGTCACTGAAAGCAATAAATGTTGATATATAAATCATAATAACCACCGAATCCAGGTTTTGCAATCAACACGCATTCTCTCTTTTATTATTTTTTTCTTTGAGCGAGTGATTTGTCTTGGTTGTTCACTTTATGAGAATAAAGCAATAATGCTGGAGAAAGACCGACATCTAGCATGAGAAACGGATGGGTGGTTCAAATTCCCAAGTTCCAACATCATGTCTTGCCTCTGTTGTTTCCTCATTTTTGTAGACTATACAATGCGTGACGCTGTTAGCGTAGAACCGAGGTCGGTGCTTTTAGGCATTTGATTCGAAGATGTACGTATATTGGGAGGTAGGGGGGGGGGGGGGGGGGGGGCAGGCGCTGGCCACCAAGTTACGCGTTGCTCCCCCAAATGATTGATTCCCACCACAGTATAGACCAGGGACGTTTTGGCTACGGGGCCCGATTGGCGACCTGCCGCAGTTTCGAGGGCCAGGAAATGTATAAGACAGTATAACTGAGGAGATACTAAGTATACACAAGCCTGAATAAGCATTTAAATACAACACCGTAAACTAAAGCAAAAAATAATTAAGGTCGATGAATACATATTTATACGCTTTATTTTTAAATACCACATGTTGCTAATTATTATATCACAAAATAATTGTGACCCAGAGAATTCACCAGGCATAAACCAAAGCGCATATGAAGTTTGAAAAAGGACAGAATACTAATGAGAACGATAGGTCGGATGATGACAATGCGGAGAGCAAGTTCGTCTGCTTCTTTTGCGGGGGTTGTGGTGACGCTAGAACGCCGAGCTCTAATTGGTTCTGATTGAATGATATTGGGTAGACCTCAGGCCAGCTTGCCTAACCAGCTTGCTTTAAGGTCTACCCTCTGTCCTTCAGTCAGAGTCAATCAGAGCTCGGCGTTCGGACGTCACCAAGACCCCCGCAAAAGAAGCAGACGAACTTGCGCTTCGCAAGGGTTATGATGACACAGATCATCGGTACAGAACGTCAGGGTAATTCAAATAGTGGTGATGGCGATGCACAATAAATATTATGGCTAGAGAACCCACGTTATCATGCAGATGTTCTCTAATTCTCTCTGTAACTTCGATAGCGCTTTTTTAAAACGCGTCGCAGCATTCTTTTTTTTTTTTTTTTTACGCGCTTTTTTGTTTGTTTTGTTTTTGTAGCAGCAGTGCCGCGTGCCGGACGGAGCGCCTCCGCGGGCCGGGGTTTGGAGACCCCAATACGCTGATTCATAGCCTCCTATATACTGACAAAGTCTGGCAGATCGCCACGAGAAGCGGCCACCGAAATGGAGAAGGTGGAGCGGCAGACAACGGATGTGAGGAGAGCCACGTGACTGGCGCCCCGCTGCGGCGAGACGCCGAAACACACTTCTCTAGAGCGAACAAGCGTGTTTCGGGTCCTCGCCGCTGCAAAAGCTTTTCGCTGACGTCCAGGTTCCCCGAGAAATGCCTCTTTGATGCTCTGTGCTACCAGATCCTCGCACTCCAAATCTGCGACCGGGCACTCTATATGGCTCCGTCGTCTAACTTCCAGGCCTTGTGAGTATAGAGGAGGCTATGGCTGATCACAAGCAAGACCGCGTTTGCTCACACCAGGGGCCAACGCGAACATGTTTGCAAACAGCGCGTGCTCACAAACCAGATTCGCGTGAGTGGACCCGTCCGAGGGTCCTCTCAGTGGCAACAGCATGCAGCGTCACCGCATGCAGTGTCGCGACGTTGGGGCCCTTTTCACCTTAGCAGAGAGAACGCTGGAGAGGAGGTCGCCACTCGCTCTGCTGAAGTAGAGAGAAGGGGAAGGATCTAGCTACCCCAGAACACCAGTCACCGATTATAATATATATTCGAGTCTTTCGATGCTGATAGCAAAATAAAAGTACAAGGGCCGGTGACCGCTGTTTCCGCCATCAATGTCACGCTATATACAACACTCAAAATTTTAAGCCATAAAAATTACTTCGAATACTAAGCGAGTTAAGAAGAAAGTGATTTTCATACACGTTTTGAAAATTCCCCTCAAATAATAGTGCAAAGAAATATTTTATTTAGTATAACTATAAGCACTAAGAAAGAAAGAAGCTGTATTTTTGCAACAAAACGTATCGTATTTTCCGGACTCTGCGCCGAGTACTTGGGGGAAATGAGGAGACAAGAGCGCGTGGAGACGTCAGAACGCCGAGCTGTAGGTATTTCGCACGTGGTGCGAAATACCTGCAGGTGCGTACTATACGAGGATTTATTTTTTTAGATCGCTCATTATGACGAGACGTGACAGTTTTCATGAATGATAGACTATGTTAATGATGACTTGTGTCTGATAGAGGAGTCTTTGTGAGCTGATCAAATAAGCATTTGTCAAAGTCGACTATGCTTGAGAATATTTCACATGCGGACTAGACACTTTGTGCATGGGCGCCCCCCCCCCCCCCCAGTTCTCAGAGGGGGGGGACAAGGCATGTGTTTTGCCCCCCCCCCCCCCCCCCCCTGAAACAGCCACAACTGGGTAGGGAAACACTGGTCGGCGGCGCCCAAGGGATACCAAGGGTACCGCACCCGGCTCTGAGGGGGAGGGGGTCTGGTTTGCTTCCCCCCCCCCCCCCCCCCACACACTCAAAAACAAGTTGGTACGCCACTGACTGTGCGGACTATGCACCGGGGGGCGGACTATGCACCGAGCGGCAATCTAATTCTTTTTTAACCGAAATTTGTCTCTGCAGACTATACACTGGGTGGGGACTAGAACCTGGAAAATACAGTAATTGCATTCAAGATAGAAATCCTTAACGTTCTTGAGTGCATAAATAATTGGAGTGATATTAGCTTGGCATATTTATTTATTTATTTACTTTCAAGATCGTCAGACATTACGGAGTGGAGTGCTAAAAGAAACAACGAATATAATGGGGGAAAACAACAACAATAAAGAAACAACACAATAATGGTTTATAACAAAACAGAAAGTTAGAAATAGCATCTTTGAAAGTAGCTTGGTAATGGATAGTAGCGATTTGCTTTGGTGGTCTGAATTCTAAACGACTGGAAATATATAAGTGGGTGCTAGTACGTGATAGTGCAGAGAAGGATGATGATAGATTTCGGGAAATAGTGATAAATGGGAACACTGTCTACGAAAAACAAAACTCTGTAATGATAATGAAGGTTTCATAGAGGTTATCTTAGCAGTTCAATGGTAGTTAGAAAGTATGAAACGTGCCGATTTGTTTTAAACTGTTTCTAAGGACGAAATAAGGTACTTGATGCAGGGGTCGCAGACGGAAACTGTATATCAAGCTTCAATCTTTCAAGGTTGAGGGACGAGGGGCGCAGTATATGGTGCCGTCATCAACAAAAGGGTAGATTTAGCCAGTGCAGCATGTAACTGTGACCTCCTTGCTCAGAGCCAGAATACATCGAGACTCCAGGAGCCTACAACAGGACAAGACCAGGAGACAGCATGCCCGTGGGTAGCAAGTTGGGCTTTGGCTGCTTGTACCCGATCTCGTCACCGGTGCACGGCCCGGTGGCGTACCACAACAACCGGCTGGTTTTCGAGCGGTCCGTGGTGCCCCATGGCGGACTGGTGCGGTTCCACTGTCCCATGCAGCGCTTCCACAAGTTGGCCGGTGCCCCAGTGGTGCAGTGTATAGACGGAACCTTCAACGAGTCCCTACCTACCTGCGACAAGGCGCTCTTTGGTGAGAGTTGAAGGCGTCCACATGCAGCGATGTCTGTGTACTGGCCTTTTGTGCCCTCTGTTGAAAGGTGTGGCAACCCTGCACAATAGCGGGTGCAGGAGACGCGGCCAAAGTTGGAACACTAGAAAAGTCCACTTTATCATCGTCTTAGTCGTATGTAGCTCTGAATATATTGTCAATGAGAGGTTGATCCCTCGGAAGCTTCTTACCTTCGATAACACTTCGGTGTTTCGTGAGCCTCGAGCATGCACGCGCACTAAAGCACGGCGGAAGGCCGATCCTATAAAATAAATTTCCTGCCGTTCTCGTTGCTTACACATGGCGTCATCGAATAACGCTAATAATCATTCGTGCCTATTGTTTTACCAAGAAGAACAAATTTGGTTGTGTGTAATGCATGCTGAAAAAGGTATAGTGTACTGTGTACGTGCTCTGCTCCAAGACCACCACAATGGCAGCTGATGTGAGGTCAATGTAAGTCATGCATATTTTTTTTTAGTTAGTGGCTCTAGCAGTGGCGTCGTAAGACATTGCAGACATCTGAAGTTAACAATTCTGGGGAAATGAAGGGAAATTCCTCTCCCGTAGACGCTAGGTATTTTTCTGGCGCTGGCTTCGGTCGTTTTCCACCTTTGCTAGACTTCCTCCTTTCTTTTTCTACCGCAGCCAGGCGGTTTATTATTCCGGAGCCAAAGGCGTGGACTTTACCCAGAGGAAGGCTATTACCTCGCAGGAGATTCATATTTGTTTCTTCCGTCTCCTTGCAACCGCCTCGACGGCCCTACCTAATGGACCTTATATCCTTCGGCAGAACAGCGTCTGGTGGCGTACGTCGAGGCGGACTACGTGCTTGCGCCAGGGGGCGTCTTCGTTGTGCCTCCGAACAACCCAGTCGAGATCACTTGCCGCAGGACTCTCGAGCCCGGAGGTCACGCTCCCCAGTGGCAGTGGGACGTCAACACCAACGTCTTCGTCAAAGGTAGGAGGACTCCTTGTCTTCTGGTACTGTCAGGGTGCACGTGTGTGGCTGATATTTATTAGAAAGTTGCATCTCCTATCCAACCAATTATATTTATTACTCACACATCTTAAATTACTACTCATTTAACAAATTAGCAACATGTCTCGAATGATGTTTTGCTGCCCCTCTTTCAAAGAGGGAGCACCTTCAGGGGCAGTGTGTAGCGGCACATGATTTGGCTCAGAATGTCACTGAAGACGCACGCCTCTTGACATAATTAAACATGTAGTAATTTCTTAATGCATATATTCCGTTTTTTTTAATATATTGATTTGCATAATATAGAACATTATTGCGGTAATACGACTAAAAATATGTTCTTATTTTGTATCCAAACGTGTCAATGAATGCGGCACATGCAGCCGAGATTTTGTCTTGCGCGACTGCGAAAGGAGTTACCGGCAAAGCTCAACCGCACCCTCCGGAACGGTCGCGTGCTCGCAGAGGGCACATTCCTGGTTAGTCCGACGTCTGTGCTCCGCCTTCATCCAAAAGAAGGCACGAAGGGCGTCTTCATCTGCTACGACGGTCGAGAGGACGTCATTCTTCGCCTCGAAGCCAGAGGTGAGCCGTGCCGTGCATGTGAAATGCAAATTCACGTTTGTTTGTCTTTTCAAAGGAGGAAGAGACGAGAGTTGAAAGCGACTATTACCCGAGTAGTGTTTCACCTCCGTATAATTTGGAGACCTGACGCAGAACAATGTTAGTCCGACATCCCGAAAAGTTGCCCAAGTTACACTTACCGTCTTGTATATTGCCGTTGCCATGCAAGAAAACGATCAAGCAGTGCTACTCAGTTCAAGCAAAATGGAAACTTAGTAAAATTCCGAACGCCAATTTCTGAAAGCAAGCGGTATTGCGGTATTCCCTTTGAGCCTATGTGTGGGTGTTCATCCAGTTATTTCACCCAATCGCGCGGGCATCTTTAGCTTAGAACACCTACCTTTTTACGGTAAAGATTAAGTTACTGTAGAGGTTGGGTCTTCACTGTGTATACATATACACAAAAACAAAATTCGCAGCTTTTCGCCTGTGTGCAAAGAAGTGATAGCGATAACTGTTATTACACACCTACTTTTTTTTGTGCATACATCCGCTTTTTTTGTGTGTGCATATGTCCATTTTTTTATTTACTCGATCACACACAACAGGGCCCCGTGATCACTTATACATGCAGGAAAGGGAACACACTGCACACGTTATAGTCACCGATCGAGACATGTACCGTTACGAGTTCAGGGTTGCTTTACGTCTGATATAACACGCAAACCGAGTTTTACGGTCAGAAATATGAAGCGGCGTCCCCCGCCAACCGTATTGGACACTGCTACCTAGCGAGAAAGCCTTGTGCGCACATTTTAACTGGCATCACGGGACGGTGCACGTTTCTGCCCCACAATGCTGCCGTCATGTGCAGCTGCATGTTGAGGGTCCGAAAGACGCAGCAAAGCCGCGTCGTTGCAGGTGACCGCTGCCCCAGCATCCCGCTGTCGCGAGGCCTCAAGATGCGCTCCAACTCCATCAAGGCGGACTTCGCGTGCGAGTCGCCCGCCCTGCTGCAGGGGCCAGTGAGCGTTCGGTGTCAGCACTTCCGTCGCTGGGACAGGGAACCTCCGGTGTGCGTGTATCCCGAATGCGCCGCGCCCGTGGTCGACGAAAACGGCCAGGTCCGGGCCCCAGAGTTCCCTTGCACCTTGCCCGAGCTGTCCGGGGCCCTGGAAGCCTTCAGTGGGTTCCGCAAGGTCAGGTCCGGCGACGTGGTCGCTCCGGGCGAGAACGTGCGCTTCCACTGCGCTCCAGTCGGGGTCTTCATGCTGGTCGGGACGTCGCAGCTGCACTGTGTCAAGGGCGTCTGGAGCGACCAGATGCCCGTATGCGCTTTCGGAGTCCGTGAGTAAAAAAAACAAAACAAAAAATCAAAGTTGATAAACTTGGAGACGCACACAATGGTGTTTGGTAAAGTGGGCGCATGCTGTGTCTGGGAACGTCATGTGATGCCTTGAGGCCACGCGACTTTGTGACGTCACGCGAAGACGTGCTCTACATTAGCTCAGTCACAGAACTGCTCACAGAAATAAGCTGCTTGCACGAGCAGTACCCACCTCCACAGCTCGCCTTCCGTAGCCTCCTCTCGTTTGACGCGCCACCGTTTTGGGGGGACGGCTGCTACAGTAACTGCACCGTATTCTATGGACTATGTTTCAAAGCACAGCATCTAGATGCCGTTTCAGCGTACTCAATGGAACACAGCTTTGAAACGGGGGTATACCCCCTCCGCGGGAGTTCCACAACTGAGGTAATATAGTAACGTTGGTCATGGTGTCATTTGATGTTGTAATGTCACGTGATGATGTCACGCAACGTCATGGTGTCACGGGTGATATCACGTGACGTCAGGATGACTCGTGTCACCTTAATAGGGAGTATTGACTTGCGGCCTTAGCTGCGTGCGTGGCTGCTGAATGCGTGCTGACGGTGAGCTTCCGCAGTTATTTTGTAACGTGCATTCCACACCATCAAGATTGCCGGTCCTGGCAGGCTATTGAAGGGGTCACGAAACGATACTCACGCGGACCGCCACTGATTCAGAAGCTACTTAGTCGCGGTGAAAGTGCGAGGATAAAGGGGGACTGTTTCTTTCAGTCTTGCCTTCGTAAATTTTGATGAAGTAATTGTGAGATCGAAATGACCCGCCTGACGGCAGTTGAGCGCGGCTCATGGATTGGACACGCCGCGTGAGCACTCGAATGTGGCTCGTAACAGTGAATCGGCGGACAGTCATGTAGCGACGTCCAACCACTGAGCTAGTGAGAATAGCCGAACTCTATCAATGACTGGAGCTCAACACGCGTCTTCTACTTTGCCGACCCCAGCGCTATGGTTAATTAACGCATGCAGGTGGCGTAGCACAGGCACCAGGCCACGTGGCTACTTGTTCTGGCTCCGAGTTGAGGGAATGAACGATGCTCAAATTTCTCGAATTTATTTACCGACTGCCATTACTTATAAAGAAAAATGAAGGCAACTTTACTCGGTTATTAACGTTAGGGAGTGATTCAAAATAGTATTTAGCGAAAGTAAAAAAAAAAAAAAATCGTTTCATAGCCCCTTTAATGTGAGCTCGTTCTGAGCAAGCGCCCTAATCAACGCCCACAAATATGGCGTCCAGTGAATACCCCCTATAGACAGATGTCACTAAGCGTTTCATGCATGCATGACGCCGCCATTAGTGCAGTTCACAACCAATGCACGAGGTACCTCGCGCCGCCTCGTGCTCTGCTCGCGTAGACCCCCAGCGGGGTTGTCGCGCATGCAGAGAGACTATAGTTCCCAAGATGCATAGCGGCAGAGGTGGCGTAGACAAACGGTGAGATTGCTTACACATTGATGTGGGTTAATAGTGAAGTTTAGAATTCGAATCGAATGATATTGCATAAATATTTCGATTCGACTTTTGAACCCCTCCTTGTACTTAAGATTTCGATTAATCGAATATCAGTATACTGCTGGATAAAATTCGGCTTTATTCACGCTGTTCCTAAGGTGAAATTGTCCTCACGGGCTTGTATCTGCTTTAAGAAGCCTTGATTAACGAACCATTTTCACAGAATGTAGTTCGTTTCTTGAGCTCCTCGAACGAAGTAGTCGTGCCCCCATGCTTTTTGCACGCGCACGACGAGAACCCGTAATCCATGCACGTCGCCCCTTTGAATACGAGGATCTCGCATCACCTGCACCCAACTCTCTACCAATACAAGTCTATTTATCGTTTTTTTACGCCCTTTAATATATCACATCATTATCCAAAATCGAATTGCACCAATAACTGAATAACTAAACCGGTCTCTTCCGCTTACCCTTCGCTATCTTTTTTTTCTTCTTTTTTTTTTTTAAGAAATACATTATTAAGTGCGATAGAATTTCTTTAGATAGCCTGTACAAAAAATTTCTCATCTCTAACACAAAATGGATGCACATACGCTTGAGGATGACAAGCGTATAAATTGAGAACAAAGAATAAATTACTTCCGAACGTCCCCAAAGGGGAATAATCAAATCAAAGATCCTAATACTTTGAGCACAAAGCTCAAACACTGTGCCAAGGGGGAGACAAATGAAGCGGTAGTTGTTATACTATCGCGCGCAAGCGTGTCGCGGGACCATGCAGCGCTCGCGGAATGTGCCGCACTCTTCACAATGCCTCATGAGAGGAAGGGGAAACAGTCGAACAGAATCGTCTTCATTATTCGAAACAAAAATGTACAGATAGTTGATTTTTCGTATCAGCGGAATATAACCAGCGGTGACCATTTCGGCGTAGTCTGTAGCAAAACACCCCAAAAACACAGACCCGTTTTTAGTCTTGTGAACATTACAACAAACTTTTTGTATAGTATTCGATTTGATATTCGAATGTTTGGCCACTATTCGGAAAAATTCCCTTCAAATTCGATTCGAGTTCAAATTTCACTATTCGCAAACCTCTACTTGTATGACTTTGACCTGTGCGTCGGTCGGGCGCCCTGTCACGCATAAAGTCCCTTGATAAACTTCACGCTTTCAAGTACCGCCAACCATTGTTGTGGAAACGCGCAAGACACGTGCCACGAGCGAGCGCTCCGCCGCCATTCGCTTCCAAGGGCCGCTCGTTTCAGTGCTGCGCCGCCATTTGCTTCCAAGGGCCGCTCGCGACACGGGCCACGTGCACTGACGCATTTGACGCTACTTGCAAGACAAACGCCAACAGATCGAGGGGCTTTAGTCACGCATAGTGCTAGAACAAAAACACCTCGGGAGTCTATACTCCGTTTCACCGTATGATGGACCGTAACGGGCGTTACGAGTCACCAAATGTCATCCGTCTTGCGTCAAAACAAAAATATATTTTGCATCAACACAAATTTTGATATTAGATGACAAAATTAACTAGTGGTAGTGTATAAAAAAAAAAAAAAACAAGGTAACGGCTTTATAACCAGATAACAAATCTGAACAAGATCATCATCATGGGAAATTGTGACAACCGGAGTGACAACCGATTTACGTGCCATTATTTTGCAGCTTCATACTCAAACAAAGAGCCATTGCCATTCTTGCATCTTAGTCCGGGTCATCCCAAGTAGCATTTTGAAAAGTGGACACAACTGCTCATTTACAGGACAAAGGAAGAATAACGAAACCTAAATCACGAGCAGACAATCGCTTTTCTTTTGCCTCCTCAAGAACCGCGTCACGCTTGTGGGTATGTACAAACTGTACGATATCGTTACGGATCGTCCTTTTCCTTGTTGGCACAGGGTGGCGTACTTTGACATCTGAATTGGAAATCTGCCCCCCACCAGCTCTCTAACTTTACTGATTAAATGCATGCGTTTTTTTCATCATTTTTCGGAATGCCCTTTATCTTGTAAGTTTCGGTTTCGGGAGTACCACTCCCGGAACTTTAACAACACATACGTGTTGCTAATAGGTGTTGCTAATAGTATTTAAAAAAATATATTATGAAGATAAACTTTGGAAAGATAGCCAGGAAAAGCAAATGAAACATCCATATCTGAGTGTTTAATTATGACAGACATATCGCTATCTTAGCCTTCCAACAAAATGGGACGAGCGCTCACGTTAGCGAATCTTTCGTTGTCTCTAAGCTGAAGTTTTAATGAACCAGTAGAAAGCACTCCGAGCTTCTAGGCTGCTACCCTCGCGTAAGGCTGTCTGGCAGTGACAAGCTTAGGCTGAAAGCCAAAATAAAAAAATGTATGGCAAATTGTTAGGCAATTGTATTGCATACGTGAGACATTCTGGCTTAATCGTTCAGCAGTTACACTTTATAGCCAAGCACACCGACGTTAGTCTGTTTAGTATGGGATTAGTCCCTAGTGCTAAAACTCAGGTGTCTACCATCTTTGCTCGCGCTGTTCGTCACTGAGATTCCGCTCAGCTAAACGGCTACGTTCACGGCACTCTTCGTGAGATAACGCGTACCATACCGCTTATCACCCCTCAGTTACTAGTGTGTCCTCCCTCAATCACGTAAATACCTTCTCCTCGCCCACCCCTAGACACCCCCCCCCCCCCCCCCCCCCCCCCCCCGGGCCCGGGTTAAAGCGTCAAGTTTCTCCTCCGTTGGTGCTCAGGGGGTCGAACTCCTCCTCACAAACCTCTAGCCACGTGACCTCCCTCGTCAACCAATCAGCGTCGAGCTTCGCGGTTGCGTCACGTTTTGGGCTTCACGAAATGCTGAGCAACTAGCCAAAGAGCGTTTCATGTTGCAATGTGAAGTGGCGCATGTGATCCGTTCCATCTGCAGCCAACAGCCTGGCAGTGACGATGACGTCTCAGCACGCTGTGGCTCCCGGTGGCGTGGTGCACGTGCTGCCCTTCGCCCAAGTCGGACTGCGGTGCGTGAGCACCGACAAGAGCCTGCCGCCACAGTGGATGCATGACGGCGAAGTCAACGTCACAGCCAGAGGTGCCGTATATGCCATCCGATTGATTACGGAGTTCGAAGAGACGAGAGCTAACCATAGAACAAAAAAACAATAGTAACAATAATAAAAACAAGCTACTTGCAATGTTTCGAGTTCTTAAACTATATATATATATATATCGAAGTGAAAAACTTCTAAAGGTACGTTTATACTCCAACGTAACGTCGACGGGCGCGGCGTAGCGCAGCACGCACAGATACTGATTGGTTGCAGATATGAAGTTCCTGGTTGCCGGCCAATGAAAGGCGCGCGTTCTGAGCTACGCTGCGTTCGCTGCGCTAAACGTCGGAGTATAAACAGCCCTTAAGTCATCTCCTGACGAAACCGAGTCTCTCGGCGAAGCTAGATTAAACTTCCGCTGTTTGTTGTTTCTCACCGTGAGTTTTTCACTTCGTTATATTTACGCCTTCGGCCCCTTGGCTCCTATGCCACCATGCCCACTATATATATATATATAATGTCAAAGATTCGTACCTTAGGAGTTGCTATGCTAGGAAGTTTATTGTGTGTATTATGACAGTTCAGATATATGAAAAAAATGACTCGAAACATCTACGTATGGACTTCTCTGTAAACGCCAGAGTATTTACTCATTACAGATCTTGAGAGCAAATGTTGTCTCCTTGGTGACGCAGAATCCAGCGACATGCTGATGTCCACCAGCATGCTGACCTTCACGGCCAATCCGGGCACCGACGTCCGATTCACGTGCACCTCTCACCCTGAGAGTCGGTGGGCCGACACACGTACGATACACGTCATGGCCACAGGTAGGAGCAGACGATAAAAAACAACAAACATTATTATTGTTAAGCATGTCTTCACTAAAAGGCTTCTCTCTTATCCTTTGTCTTCTGAAATCGGAGAGAGAGAGAAAGGGGTGGAGATCTGTATGGGTGAGGGGTATTGGATACTTGAAACTTTCGCGTTTTGTGTACTTTGGCTGCCACGACAAAGTCGAGCAGAGTGTCCAATAAAGTCGGCTTCTGGTCAGTAATTGTAAAAATATACCTTTTGTAAAACATGCTGCGCAGCGCCAGCGCGGAAATGTGTTTTCTTAGGAAACCGTAACTTAAAAAACACGCCCATATTAACGTTTTGTTTTTTGTTTAATTTGTAACATGCTGTATCCTTGTTTTTTTTTTTTGTTTGTTTGTTTTTGTAAAGTATGTGTTGAATTAGTCGTTTTCGAGGATGCTCAGGCTTCTTTTTTTTTCTCTTAGTGATAACGGCGTGTGGCTGTGCTTTCGTACGCTCGGTTCACACATACCTTTAAATGTAGTCATTAGAAAACTAATTACAAGTAATAATGACTTGCACGTGACGTTATTGCATCTTGCTAATGGTAATTTGTTCTGGCCGAAAGAGATGAAAAGTATTTTTTCGCCCACAATGTAGGAAGAAACGAAAGCGATAGCTGCAGCACCGTCACGCGCGCAATGCGGGTGGAAAGGTGCCGCCACGCACCTGAGGACGGAGGTGCGACGTGGTTAATTTTTATAACTGTCGTGGTTGGCGTCGTGGATACCACTGACGACTGCCACCAGTAATCCGTGAAGTAAGTGGGTAAGCGCGATGGCAGTCTCTAAAACCATCCAACATTACGCGTAGCAACTGGATACTGCCAAAGTGGGACTTTGCATAACGCGAGTAAGTTTGAAAACAAGTCTTTCAAGCAGACGACACGATTATTAGGGCGGAGCGCATATGCCATCGCTCGCCTTCACTCGCTTCTCGCGGCACGGTGGACGGAGTCCCGGCTCCCGACTTCCCTCTCGAGGGAAGAAGGGGTTTTACATTTTTCGCGCACTCGGTGACGACGGGCAACGAGGACAAAATCTCTGCAAAGTGTCGACCATAAAGCTATCGCTTTAAAACAAAAATTGTGCTGCGAAATGTGTGCTGCAAAAGGTACGCTTTTAGCAGCAAGGCCGCCTCAATGGCCGTTTTTCTCACGTCAAGTCATGTATACGTATATACATCCACACACAGAAGAAAAACAGAAAGAAACCATGGCCTTTTCACAGTTAGACGTAAATACGCTCTCGGGTTTCGGGGCTCACGCAGAACGTGCCTGTCCCGGGATCTCCAGCACCCGGGGTTTGCGCGTGCGCGCCAACTACGACATGGCAGTCTTCAGCTGCGACCCCCCGAGCCAGCTGATCGGCGGGTCATTGCTGCAGTGCCAGCCCTTCGGCCAGTGGGATCTCCCTGTTCCGCGATGCGTCTACCCGCACACGAAGAACACCACCTGCAGCGGTGGTACTGGTGAGTAGGATGGCGCGTCGCTATGGAACAAACGAAGATAAACAATGGTACTACCGGATATTTGAAACGGGGGTAGTAAACAACCATAGGTGCCGCAATCTTCAGAGTTAAGGATGAATGGGTCCATGGAAGATGAATTGTTACAATCATACCTGATGGTACTTGAGAAGGATCTTGTAAGCTTGTAGAGTGACAGCCGATATCGGATCCTGAACCTCTTCAGGCCTTTGGGAAGAAGTCAAGACATCGGCGGGCACTCTGTAACTTCCAGGAGATTTCTTTTCAGGTCCTCCCTGTCAGAATTAACCACTTTTCAGAGCGCAGCTTTTAAGCACCCGTTTCTGGGTTGAGCGGCGTCGCCTTCGCCGCCGGCGTAACCGCGCGTTGCATTATGGGACGTTTCCCATAATGTCGTCACAAGTAACGTCACGTGACGTCACACGTGACGCCAATCAACCCGGGAAAATTTTTACGATAAATTTAGCGGGAAAATTTTTCCGCTAATTTTAGTGGGGAAATTGACGTCACGTGACTTCAACGCCAATTCAGTTTCCCCACTAAATTTAGCGGGAAAATGTTTATAAATTTCCCGCTGAATTTAGCTGAAAAATGTTGGTGAATTGCCCGCTAAATTTAGTTTGAATATTTCCTCGCTACATTTAGCGGAGACATTTTCGCTACTTTTAGCGGGAAATTTAGCGAAAATTTTCCGCTAAAGGGGAGGGGAGCAGGAGAGGAGGAGGGGAGGTGAAGGAGGGGAATACCCTCCCCTTCGTACCCTCTCCTCCTCCTCCTCCTCAATAGCTGCGCTCCAATTCGGCGTTACAGAGAATTGTAAATGTCTTTCATTTTGTTTTAATAATACCATGGTAATGTATATACGAGAGGGCTGGTGAAGTCGACCACAAGTAGTTCCTGGCAGGCATGGGAAGGCTTCGGGAAGTGTAATGGACCAGCAAAGTTGTCTCAAGGGATGCTCGCGGGATTCTATCGGTTCCTAGCTGTTATGGAAAAATCGACCCATTCAACCGTCTGCGTTTGGCGGTTCATTGTGGACTGCCTCTGAATTATCATGTACGCACAATTAATTACCGAGCGCTGCTAAGAAAAACAACAACAAATTACTTGGGTATTCGTTATTTCAAGTACTACTGCTAACCACAATCCAGCATTGCAATATATAATATATATATAATGAAAACTTTATGTGTATGTACTATAGTCTATAACACGCATGGCTATGGAAACTAAAGAATACTTCTACTGAAAAGAGTACTGTCTAAACGCATCTCCTCATGACCCAATTCGTACAGGTGCGGGAACGAGGCCAGTTACCCCTCCCCGACCCGCTGCCAACCCCGTTCCCAAACCTCGTCCTGCGCCTGCCGACGTCCGTCCCGTCACCAAACCTGCACCTATCGTTGTTCCCGTTCCCGATCTTGATCCCATTGCAGAGCCCGGCGGCGACCCTGACGCTCAAACAGAATCCGAAGACGTGCCTGGGGACGACCGCAAAAGCCCAGTCGGTGCCGCTCCTAAACCCGACGTTGAGGTGGACACAGAGCTGAACCCAGACTTGGACCCTGTCGCCACTCCCGAGGACAGTCCTCCGCTGAAGCACGTGGCAAAGGTACCCATGCGAGAACACATGGAAGTCATCGAGAGGAAATATGCGGCTAACATGACCGACACCGGCGCAAGAGAACCCCCTAAGAAGATCACGCTGAAGTGCCCTTCGCCCGACGGCACGTTCCCTTACCCATTGCACTGCAGCAAGTTCATGCAGTGCGTCTCGGGGGTGCCCCGCATCCTGCAATGTCCAGAAGGTCTGCTGTTCAGCCTGGACCTCCAGATCTGCAGACGGAGCGCCCAGGAGCTGAAGGCATGCAGGGACAGACAACGTTTGCTCTTGTTCGGGTTCAAAGAGGAATAAAGCAACTTTTGCTTGGCGACTGTGTTCCTGAGTACACTCTGCGCGCTGCCATCGTTGCCTAATTAGGCAGTGGAACGCGTTCTGAGCATGATCATGCAGCAGCCCTCTTCTGAAGAATATCAGACGCTGCACATACGTCCACAGCCTATAGTGGCTCGGCATCTTTTCTTCCCGGTTGATAAGCGTTGAAAAGGCATATACCAAGGCGTGGCTCAGGACGTCTCGCCGCAGCGGTAGCACTGCTGTTGGCCGGGAGCGAAGGCAGACGCTTCACGTGCCTCACGCGAATCTGGTTTGTGTGAGAACAAAACAGAACAAATACGGACTTGTTTGTAGACGACTTTCAGTATTATTGGGAAAGCTGCTGCGGACGGCGCGAGTGTGAGCGTCGTGGAGCAAGGCGCGTGGAAATAACGTGCTGTGGGTGTGCACTCCTCACCAGGGAGTTTTAGAATTCCGCACGCTAAAGCTTTGCGCACGCAAATAACGTCGTCGCTACTGCGCATGCGCCAAATGCTAACCACGTTTTCCGTTTTGCGTGCGCTATTTTAGCGTACACTATTTTCAGAAATTGCGTGCGTACGCAAAGAGTCTGTGCGCTCCTCCAAGGAGGATTCTTGATGAGAAGTTGGCTAAAGCCGAGGCAGGCAGAGTTAAAAAATGGCGGCTTCCAGGACTATGTCAGCGGCTGCTTTGGCGGCGTCGTGAGTGCGACGTCGGCGGCATACTCGCGACTGCGATTTTTAATACGGGATGACATTGTACTCGGTTTGGCCACGATCACCGGCAGCTTGATGCTTGCAACGCGAACATTTCTCGGCGAAGGTACAGTGTGCAAAGGTAAGTACACGAGACCTCTCTTGCCGAGGCGACACAAGCGGACACGACCGGTCAACCGCTCGCGTCTCATTCTCATGTCTAAACAAACCTAAAATGACACTCCGAACCAAAAACTTTTTTTTTTTTTTTTTAAGTTACAGCATTTTGTGTGTGAAATAAAAATTCGGACTGTATCTTGGTGGCGTCGCAAGCGCGAGATGCTTGGGCTTTTGCGTCGCGGCGGAGAAATGCAAAAACTCGCGTCGCGTGCGCTAACATAAGCGCTAAATTTAGCGCTTGCGCTAAGATTGCGTACGTTATTCTCAAACTCCCTAATGTTTTTCATGTGTGCTCGGTCGCGGGGAGAGGGTGTTCGCAATTTACCGTACGTGTCGTGTTAAGAAAAAAAGAAAAAAAAAACAAAAAAAAAACAGGTATGGTAGATTTTGAGAGTTAATTCAATTCGCGTGCAAAGAAAACGCCATCGTTGCTTTTCTGAGAATATGAGATTTGAGATAACAGAATGCTCGTCTTCACACGACGGTAATCTGCCATTTTGTTGTTAGGTGTCAGCGGGGTGAGAGGGTGTAATGAGAATCCTTGCAATACTCGCCTTCGGCACTCTCCAGAGAGCACATAACAACAAAACGCTGGACGAAATTACGTCAGTGGAAACACCTTGTACAAATTCGCTTTTCAGGGATGTTATTATTTTTAATGCGAAAGCATTAACTGTCCCATGGAGCGAGCGGACTTCATTAGTTTGAAGCGCAAAAACGGCACCTAGTTTCTCCGATCCTTCGGTTCTATTGGCTGGCGTGCGTTGACGGCGTTGGCCCCTGCGCTCGTCAGTTTCCACGACCGCTCACCCCATGGCGCTGCGTGTCCATCTGTGCTAAAGTGCCTCCATCTGCCGGCCGCTTCCGCTGACAGGGTGGAGACACCAATGAAGCAAATGAAGCGCCACAATATGGCGCCTGAGCTCAGTATTAGCTCCACATTGGGTGCGGGTCCCATGGAGTTATTATAATGTATGCTAGAGGTTCAAGTGGTGTGCTGCTGCAAATTGAAGCAGACAGCAACCAGTCGGAAATTGACTTCCCGTAATGCATTTCTATGGGAAAAAGCGAGCGCATTTTCTCGCTGCGCTCGATTATAAGAGCAAATATCACGAATAGTTCGTACGTACTGGCACATCGCAACATTGCTCAGTCACGCAGACGAAATAATTGGTCAGTTAGGGTGCTTTTATTTGAAATTCGTGGCATGAAATACGGTGCTAAAACCGTTTCATGTGTATTTATGCGCACTGTCAGACACTGTTAGCGCGAACACGGCATCGCCGTTTTCCACCATGGGGGGTATTCATGTCAAACGAACGAAGGACATGTGGAAAACCAAGAGAGACGGAAAGAGCTACGCAGTAACACTGGATAAGTAACTCCTTGTTCCTGCAGGCGATCAAAATAAATTGAAAGCCACGTAATATAGTCCGATTTGCAATAAATAAGTGCTGAATTATTTTTTCTGCTCACGAATATGTACAAAGATGCATGTTCTGGGTTAAAATCATCAAATGCACGCTCAAAATCTTTGCAAATAGGGAGAAGTCAGAGAACAGGCGCCTGATAAAAACTGCCCGACATAGGAAATAATAAAAAGGCACACCTTTCGTAGTCCACGTACTTTATTTCTTACATTCTAACGTTTTTTAACCGATCGTAAAGATGCCCGACGGAGTCATTTTCATAGAGTGTCAGGACGGGCATATTAGCAATATATAAGCGCCACCGCAATGCTAGCGAACCTTGCCAACACACTCTACATTATTTTCGATCATTAGTTTGCTTAGAATCGTCGCTCGTTTTTACATACCTGCCATGGAACATAGGTTTTGGCCTGAAATATACCGAAGCTTAACATCGTTCAGTGGTAAAGAAAAATGCAATTAAAGCAATTACACTTTTACAATATTAATAAATGTACATACTATCCGGTACAACTGAAATAATAAAAGTTATTCATGTTATTTTCCGGCGAAGAGACAAATATCACGCGCGTTTTCCCATAGGAATGCGCAGGAGCACCGCCAAAGTTGACTGGTTGCTGTCTGCTTCAATTTGCCTTTCGGAAGTCGCATAGCCACTAGCGCCAGTTGAACCTCTAGCGTACATTATAATAACTCTATGGCGGGTCCCGTAGAGTGTGTGAGACAAAGTCGTGGTGCAAAAACTTTGTGTTTAGCGAAAGTTCTGGAAAGATACACGCAATATGACGCCAGTGAGAGCATCGCAAAGTTCGCCACAAAATGGCTGGTGTCGCCACCCTGTCAGCGGAGCGGCCGTCAAACGGAGGCACCCCAACACGGAGCGTCCAAGGTCAGCGTGCACAGGGGAGAACGCGCGCCGACCGGCGACGAAAAGTACGCAGCAGACGACAAAGGGAGCGGACGAGCGGCCTTGCATGCTTTCGCATTCACAACTCATAAGAAGTGCTTAGGTGTGCGTCGAGCTTTTTTTCCCCTGCAATAGACCCTTTCGCAGCCACCATTAGTTGGCCTCATCGCTTCCGGCGTGAAGACCGTGAGTGGTTCCGAGTTCGCGTCGAGCACTGACGCAACACTCGTGTGGAATGCGTTTCGATCCGAGTACAGTTCGAATGCCCGAAGCTCGATCGTGTCCAAGTGCTCGCAGTGCATGACAAACTAATGGCGGCCGCACATAGTCTATGCACCATTTCGAAATGGGTCTATTGTACGTGCTAGAGCAATAGGCGGCATTGACTAATGTCGCTTTCATATGCCCTAAAAATAAGATCTGAGACACCTATTTTTTCTTTTTTTATTTCAATCTCACGGGTAGTTTTAGCTCTCTCTTTCCTGCTAGCACTCAATACAAAATAAACAAAAGTTTTGACGCACAAGCTATTGTGGGTCCGAAAGACGGAGATAACGCAAAACAGCGAATAGTGCCCACATTGGTGAAGCCGATCGCTTACTTGTCATCATACTGTCGGAAGTCCCCAAGATGCACGGTATACTGGGTAATTCAAGGAGCGCCAGGCTCTTTAAAGGGATACTACAACAAAATTTCGGCGCTCATTTCTTTTTTGGTCTATATGTGCTCAAAGGAGCAGTATCACATCGAACATACCGATATCTTGTTAAAGTCTCGAAAAGGAATTTTAAAACGAATTAAACTATTAGCAAAGAGCACCTGGTGGATGTCGCTAACGCCTCGCTTGTTATGCCCGTCTAGGAACCTTGACAGCTAGTGACGGTGAGTGTCTCGCCTCCGGCCACGACGAGAGAAGAGGGGAAGGAGGAACTCCCCTTTTCCCGATAATGCCTTTTGTGCGTTGCTGTCGCAGAAGTCGCTATTGTCCCCCTACAAGATTATAGAAGATTACCCCTCACACAAAATTCGTACAAAAGCGGCCGCTTCGGTGGCTGGAACGACTAGGCCATCCTCTCGACGTCAGCCTCGCCGTAGCTTTGCTCGAACTGAGACGACCTACGTCACGATTGCGTTGGATGTCACGTGGTCTCCGCTGGGCCTTCTCCGAGCGCTTGCCAGAGTGGGTCGTTTATAACGAAAAATACAGCCACCAGGCTCAAAATACAAACGTGCAATTGTCATTTACGGATACTGCGGATCATATTCAACCTATTTTTGAACACGACGGGATTATTTCAAATTTAGTTGAAGTATCCCTTTAAATCGACCGCAAAATTCGGTTTCAGCTGGTCAAGCGATCCTTGAAATGGGTAAGGCAAAGTTGTGAGTTGCCTACTCAAAACTCCTAATGACACCTCATTTTTTTTTTCAAACTCAGAGGTGATAAACTTTTGGAGAATTGAAAATTCAGTGCCCAGACAACCTATCGCGCTACGGCTTTTTGCAGCGTTGCCCACAGATGGTACACTTTTTTTTTGTAAAATTTGCAAAGAGCGAATTTATCCGGGGAAAAAGTAAAGAAAGAAAAAGGCTTAGCTCTTATGGAAACGCAGCGAAGCCACCGGTCTTCAAACAATACGGCGCCGTTTCGCACGGGAAACAAGAGATGGCGCAACGAACGCCGCCAACGTATTTACTCCATCCAGTGCTTTACGCCAGCGCACGAGCCTACGGTGCCGAGAGCCGGCGTCTTTAGCAGACGATCTTTTCGACTCAAAAGCGGCG